TAGATAGATAGATAGATCAGTTGGTATCATGTTTAGGTTCACATTGTGTGTTTATCTGGCTGGTGAAAGCTTTGGCACTGTTTATTATTTTATTGTGTCTGGTAGCTTAATCAGTGATGGATAAAAAGGTGAAACCACAACCACGTTTCTCCAAAGAATCCTGTGGTAATTTCACCTGCAAATCCGGAGCACAAGACAGCGACAGCGATAGCCATGAACCCAACAAAAGGATTTTGCTCAATCTGAAAAAAGAAAAAGACATGAGCCACCAGACAAGATGGTAAAACACCACCTGCAGTCAGACAATAAAAAGCCAAATCCATGATAGTGTGAGGCAAAGGACAAGGATTATAGCTTACTGAGTCACCATTTCAATTTGAACTTTGTGCCTCCCCCACCTGAACTTTAGTGGCCTCTGCGGGCTTCCACTGGACGAGTGTCACGCCCCCGCAGAGCATGAAGACAGAGAACCACTGCAGCCGGCTGAGAGAGCGGTTCAGCATGAGGACTGTACACAAGGCCGTGCATGGGATCTTCAGCTGATAGGTCACCTACACAGACAAAACACAAGTTAGGTCTAATATCTATTGATTCTTTTTAAAACATATTTATAGAGGGAAGGTGGACTCCGCACTCCTTTCCTGCTTCACACATACTGTAGATATTATGGGAACTACTGGGAATAACCACTGTTTACTATTAGACACTGGGCAGCTATCTGCTTTTCACCATGAACTTCACACATTGGAAGGGGTCAATGTTCCTCTATTGAAGTTTCCAAAATGTGTATATTGTTAGCTTTCAACCCTAAAACCAAAGTCGGCTGCAAGATTCAGCTTCTACAGCTAAACAAGAAGAATTAATATACAACTACATATATTTAACTGATCAATTGTTGGAGTAATACTTTTTTTTTTAGTAAAGAAAGTTCACACATTCACTGGTTATAGCTTTCAAATTTGAGGATTTGCTGCTTTTCTCTTGAGTTCTGTGAGTGTTGTTGGTCAAATTTAAAAGATGTCACCTTTGGATCTGGGAACATGTAAAAGACATTTTTTGTACTATTTTTGGACATTTCATAGACTAAACGAGTAAGTGATAAATAAATAAAAATAATCAACAGATTAATCAATAACTATAGCTGTTAGTTGCCACCTAGGGGAGAAAACACATCAAACATTCATTCACTGCAGTCCAAGACCTCTGCGGTTGAGTTGTATTTGAATAGGCCTTAGTATATATATCTTTTGTCAAATATGTATTCAAATCTCAGATACAACGACGACACGTATTTCAATCCAGGCCTCAGAAAATTAGATCAACATAATTATATTAATCTGTCAACATGACATGATTTGGCAAAGGTACTGTGCTTTATCCAATATTATATTATATTATATTATATTATATTATATTATATCTCTCTTTCACAATAAAATCAACAGCCTAAAAATAACTTAAAAAAACAACAACTACTTAACAGTTAATTAGAGCTGCAAGAATCCGTCGATGGACAGAAAATTAATCTGCAACTATTTTGAAAATGACTGATCATTGATTTTATGATTTATACATTGTTTGTAAATTGAATTTCTTTTGTTTTTGGACTATTTGTCAGTCAAAAAAAACAAACATTTGAAGACGTCAGCTCAGGAAATTGCAGACTACATGATTAATTGCGAAACTAATCTGCAGTTTTATTGATAATATTTATTTGTGTCACCGATGAGGATGTTCAGACGCTCTTTGTGTTGTTAGTTGCAGAACAGACTCGACAAGTTCACCAACTATCCACACCCACTCACTGTATGGTCTTTAAACCAAAATAAAAACACAATTCATACCTGATAAACTGCTGCATCGAGGTTACTCAAGGCAAGAAAGGCCATGTTATTCTGAACTGCGTACACTACAGACGGCACGCTCAGCTTCAGCAGTTCTTTGGGGCTGCAAAACACATGTTCCACCAAGGTGTTCTTCAGTCTGGAGGGACTTCCTGTTTCTCTGAGAGAGGAGACACACAAACAGACTGATGAAGAAACAGAAGGGTACTTGAGATCGGTAGTTCCAAGCTTATCCCCCTTTCCTCAGCACCACCAATCACGTTCCAAATGTGTTCATCGATGTTATGGAGTGGATATTAATACGATATATATCTTCATACACTTGCTCCGTCTGTGTTTTGGTTTGTTCAACTTTGCGTTCGTTATTATGCTCGATGTTTCGACCATTTACCTTATTTTTAGGAGTACCCCTGGTTTGGAGGATTCACTTAAATAGACATTAATTCCACTTATGGAAGTTGTTGATTCACGGTTCTTGACCTTCCTTCTAAAAGTCTACAAGTGTTAAAGCACAGAAGATTAAAAACCTTTATCCACGATCAGATTAAAAACATCCACGCATACTAGGGCTGCACAATATGGTTAAAACGTCATACAGCAATATTTTTGGTTAATTGTTGATGTGTACTGCATTTACTGTCAATGTCAGAATATATTCACATCTAAATCTGTGAATTAAGGGTTTATTTCAACCAAACCGGAGTCGGTGATTGTTGGAAAAGTGGAAAGACTAACCAAAATAGTCCTGGTGAGTTTTATTTTAGTTTCCATCAAGTTTTAAAAAAAGTGTTTTAAAGACAAAATGAATTCATCTAAATCATCACGCTATAATTGTTAACACAAGCGGTCAATTTTAGGACAAAGTTAAGACAGATCTGTAAAGGATATCTTTCATTAAGCTATATAAAATGTACATATATCTATATTCGACCCCTCAAACACCCCAATAATAAACTAGATTTTAACATTTGATTCCTGGAGAGCCAATAAAAACTGAATTTGAAGGTATAACCTGCTGTTTAATCACAGGTAACTATAACTCTTGGTATCCCTCCAAGGTTTGTGTGAGGTTTGTACACAGTTGAGATCACACCAAGTTTATTTAAACACCACATTTAAAAAACAACCAAAGTAACCCCAATAAAAGACAACAACAACAAAAACAAACACTTACTTTGACAGCATCCCCAGGCTCAGTATGAGCTTAATGACCTCGGTGATGCACACTGCAGTGGTGGAGAAGTACAGGTCTCCTGATGAGATGGTCCTTGTGTATCGCAGTGCCACCGTGTATGCAGCTGCCACCAGGGTCATCACCGTCAGGCAGTACAGCTTGAACACCACACTCGCATTTTCTGACGAGAGACGGGACAAATAACACGGCCATTACCTCCCCTGTTACACCTTCACTTAACACTCACGACGAGTGTTTAACCCTGCGACTGACACACAACTGGAGCCCGCAGCAGGTCCCTTTAATTCAGCCCCTTCCTCCCAAACGTTACTGCTGCCCCTCTTGAGCTAACATTAGCCCGTGGTGCTCGCTTTATTCTGCACTCACCGCCCGCCATCGTTGCTGCGGTCGGTGTCCTGTCCGGGTGGCTGAAGAAGTGGCTTCCTCCTGCTCGGTTCACATGGCAGACGTATCCCGGCGTGGATTAAGGAATGCCGTCCGACCAGTAACACATATGGGAAGGAGTCTGGTGTGGTTTCTCCCCGCCGCCGCTGCCTGGTGACATCTACATCGCACTTCCTGCGTTTCCCAGAATGCAACGCGAAGTGTGACGCTGAAGTTGGCTTTCGATTCGGCAGTTAAGGGAACATTTAAGTTTACGGTTGCTGAGCGACCGATGCTCCGTTTTTTTTTTTTTTTTTTT